GGGATAGAATCAAGATCACGTGAAGTATTAATACCACTTTACAATGCCTTGGTAAGGCCACACTTGGAATACTGCATCCAGTTTTGGTCACCACGATGTAAAAAAGATGTTGAGACTCTAGAAAGAGTACAGAGAAGAGCAACAAAGATGATTAGGGGACTGGAGGCTAAAGCATATAAGGAACGGTTGCTGGAATTGGATATGTCTAGTTTAATGAAGAGAAGGACGAGTGGGGACATGATAGCAGTGTTCCAATATCTCAGGGGCTGCCACAAAGAAGAGGGAGTCAAGCTATTTTCCAAAGTGCCTGAAGGCAGGACAAGAAGCAACGGATGGAAACTAATCAAGGAGAGAAGCAACCTAGAACTAAGGAGAAACTTCCTGACAATTAGAACAATTAACCAGTGGAACAACCTGCCTCCACAAGCAGTGAACGCGCCAACACTGGAAGTTTTTAAGAAGAAACTGGACAGCCATTTGTCTGAAATGGTATAGGGTTTCCTGCCTGAGCAGAGGGTTGGACTTGATGACCTCCAAGGTACCTTCCAACTTTATTATTATTATTATTATTATTATTATTATTATTATTATTATTATTATTATTATTATTATTATTATTATTATTATTATTATTATTATAAATAAAGAGTATTAGGACCTCAAATGGAGGGAATGCAACTCCATCACATTGAATAACTTACGAGCGAGACTGACTAGAAGGAACCATGTTGAAAGGCAATATTCTAGGTGATGATGTTGTTTCAGTGGTGACTATACCAATGAAATGGTCTCCTGGTCTGTAAAAGTTCCACGGTTTTTTCCCATCCCAGATCTCAAAATTCAATGGACACTTCATACTAAGCTTCTCAGAGATTGCCTGAGACACCAGCAGCATCAGAAGAAGAAGATCCATAACCTATAAGGCTGAATCAATTCCCTTTTTGTTTCTAAACATGAACAACAAGAAGAGTTGGAAGAATTCAAAGAATTCAATTTCCTGATTCCGACAGACACAAACCAATCTTCACTGGAAAGGAGAGAAAGATACAGTCAAGAGCACAATCCCTGCCTGTCCCAAAACTTGAGCCACATAGAGTGTGATCTGTGGCATTTATCCTTTTCTGATGCAAGATCCATTTCATGTTGTTTCAGTCGGATGTTAACATTAAAGGCAGTCACTTTAGCAGAATAGGTCTCAAAGACTGGAAGGGTGATAATTGTGGTGAGAAACAACTTCTCCTCTGGGGATTGTAAAGTTCATGTAAGTGAAAACTCATAAATACATCCCTGGGAGTGTTGTCGTCCTTTGTCAGGACATGTCCAGAAAGTGATGCTCAAGAAAAACAGTTCAACATTCAGGTAACTGACATTTGCTGTCCTTCATTGTGGTGCCTTGTCTCCAGAGGCTGATGAGGAAGGTCACCAAGAGCTATAGAGTTTGGTTAAACTCTATATTGATGTCACAACTCTAATCCTGCTTGATTTTTAATACAAAGGAGGCCATCAATATTCTAGAACCCACCCTAATGTTAAGAGTAGGGTCTTTCTGTGTTTTTCTATTCTATTCAATCATCATTTTTTCAATCCTCAATTGGAGCTGATTTTAAAATTCCTTGTGCCTGAAAGTGAAATTTCATTTTCCATCAGTTCTGGAAATGTCAATTGTTCAATAAGAGCCAACTAAGAGGCAGGAAATAGTGACAGCCTGTGAACTGTTTCATTGGGTATATAGGGGCATAGAGGTTTTTTTTTCCCCTTAATATTCTCTGTGCTGTCTTTTCCTATTCGTAAAAGACACTGAAATCCTCTATATTTTGAGGTTTCTTGGTTTTCTAAATGAAGAGTGGGCTGTGGTGGTGGTGCCCACAGTGTGGTGGATGGGGCGACCAGATTATGTGCCATATCCACCAAGAAACTAATTAATGAAAAGAAGGATGAGGGGTGACATGATAGCAGTGTTCCAATATCTTAGGGGTTGCCACAAAGAAGAGGCAGTCAAGCTATTCTCCAAAGCACCTGAAGGCAGGACAAGAAGCAACGGATGGAAACTAATCAAGGAGAGAAGCAACCTAGAACTAAGGAGAAACTTCCTGACAGTTAGAACAATTAACCAGTGGAACCACCTGCCTCCAGAAGCTGTGAATGCTCCAACACTGGAAGTTTTTAAGAAGAGATTGGATAGCCATTTTTCTGAAATGGTATAGGGTTTCCTGCCTGAGCAGGGGTTTGGACTAGATGACCTCCAAGGTGCCTTCCAACTATTATTATTATTATTATTATTATTACTATTACTATTACTATTACTATTACAATTACTATTACTATTACTATTACTATTATTTTACTATTACTATTACTATTATTACTACTACTACTACTACTATTATTATTATTATTATTATTATTATTATTATTATTATTAAAAACATTTTCTTTATATGAATCATCCCAACATTTTTATATTTCTCATTTCAAAAAACAAAACACCAAGGAAAAAAGAAAGAAGAAATACTATATTACTTGAGGGGCTCATCCCTCTTAAACTAAAATTCATTTATATCCAAAATCTTTCTATTTCTTTAAACATATTCAAATAGAAGTTTAATTTACAAATATTCCCTCTGATAGATCCCATCATCTAATTTCTTGATTCTCACTTCAGCCTTTTTTTTTTTGTCAAACATCTTTTCTGATCAATATGTTTCTTCGAATCAAAGAGTCTTGCCCTAGTCTTATGGATGTTATTGTAGGTACAAAGAGCAAATCAGCTGAGATGTTTTTATAAGAAGGTTTCGCCCCTTCATATTCATTGATAATTTTTTCCTTTCTTTCTCTCTTAATTTCTCTTATCATTTTTTTGTCTTTTAAGTTCTGTAATCCATTTTGTCAAATCTTTTTTCTTGCCCTCGGACTTATTTTATGGTCTTAGAGTAAAAGTTATCTTTTCTATGTCCATTATTTCCTGTAAGGTTTTTTCCACCTGGGTGTTCGAGGATGCCAATCTTGTCAAATCCAGTTGGCTGATAGAAAAAAAACTAGTCTTGCAAATAATCCAGAATGAGGCATTGTTTTCCTTAAAGAATCTTTTATTCGAGAAACAAAGTATCGGCACAACATAGTTGAAGCCAAAAACTGAATTCCTCTCCCCTGGCACAAAGTAGCAAAGCACAATTCCCTTCTCCAATTAACAGTCATAAATCACATTCCCCAATTAACTTGAAGCATGGACTTTCTCCCCATCTCTCCTGCCCACCAAATTTCTATCAACTCTGGACCTAATAACCTTGGGTTCCCACAGCTGAGTTATTATTGTTATGACTAACTAGACTCTCATCCACATTTCCCCTTCCAGCATCAACAAACTCTAAAAGCGATAGAGAAAAGATGGCTACATTTCCAATGTTAGCAGCGTTGACAATTATTTTAAACCAAAGCTAATAAAAATATTAAATATAAGACTATTCAAATTAAAATCCCAAATAATACCAAACAATAAAATAAATGAATAATTATTATTCTTTAAAAAAAATGTTGGTAGTTTTTCCTCACCATACAAGCTAGTCCATATTTGACTTAAGTAACTCTTCAAGAGAGGACATATGTGAGCCTTGTCCTGGCCTTTAGAGTGCTGTAAAATTGGCATACTCCTTCAAAGTTAGTTAGGAAGATCTTTCATGGTTCTTTGGCAATTGGTATTTTGATTCCTCCAAGGTTTGGATAATACTGGGGTGGGGGTGGGGAGAAAGGTTAGTGAGGATGATGTGGTGTTGCAACAGCTCTAACTGGGAGTGGTGCACCCTCTCTTTCTCCTGATGTTCTCCTTCTCAGCAACCTCTATTCATCATTTAAGCTCCAGATCAAGTTCCATCTTTTTTGTGGGTAGGTTTTTTTTTAAGTATTCAATAGAGTTTCCAGTTTTGTCCCATTATCCAGGACACCAGCAAAGACTTAAAAAGAATCCTCCAACTCATTTAACTTTTGCATATAAG